CGAGGCTATAAGTCATTTTGGATTGGGTCTTAATGGGTTATGAAGCTAATTAACCCTAAAAAGCCAAAGTTGTGATTTCAGGATTTTTTCCTAATCTGTCTCTGTCTTTGAAAGATCATATCTCGGTCGTGGAAAACCCTTTTTAGTCGAAACCAAATCCCAGAGTTTCTTTTTTGAGTCCTCTACATTTCACTAGTTTTGACCAAAGGCCAGAAATGCATCTAACTAGAACAAAAACGACCATTTAGCCAGAATGGTCCGGATTTGACTGTTATGCAAGGCAGTTTTGTAAAATTCGCCATAAATCGTAGAAAAATCGTATGGAGGTGTGTAAGTACCCTCTACAAATTTTTTTAAGTATGGATTTGCTGATCGTCTCTCTTTACAAAACATTTTAAGTACAGTTTTTACTTACAAGGAAAAATACTTTTTGGTAATTTTAAAAGTATCACTACTGCTCTAGCAGAAAACTTGTAACTCTCACCAACCTTTTGTTGACCCTCAAAACTACATGTATTCTCAGGAAATCACAAAACAAGCATTTCAGATGATGGAATAGTCATGGATTTTAGGCGACCTATTTTTCTGGTTTTTGTTATATCTGCTTGTTTGTTAAGGCAATTCATGTACTTTATTATTATCTGTAAGAACCTTGTATTCAAACTTGAAGATGAATTAAAACTACCATTTTGTTACTATTGTACTTGTGTTATATATCCATTTTTCTGTGATCCATGAACTACGTCGCACAACCCGGCATGTTCTACCGCCTCGGTCGTGGGTGTGACACCAACATACAGTAGGCCCAGTCCACTCATACAAATAGGCCTAGCCCTATATGCATGCCAATGGTCCTAGCCCAACATAAATTGCAAGAGTCACAAAGACAACTATCATTCTACATAATACATCCTAGTGTGTCGGTATTGGTGTCTTCGACCTATGGGTACAACGAAGAGACTCACCTGACTCACGAATCAGCTAAACCATAGCTCATAGCCTCACAACCACTGCTATAGCACTCCTATCACATCATACAAGGTCCAACCTTAGTCTACACACTAAAACCAATCATCTTGACAAAAAGTTAACCCATGTCAAAAGTCAACGATCAACGTTGACTTCAGTCAACCACCATGTTGTGGCCCTCCTTAGCCACGTCGTGATCCTCCTTTGATTAAACAGACGAAAATTTCCTAATTGCCACGTTGTGGGCGCTGAGATTCCAACAACTTAATGGATTAAGGTGTTTTCTTTGATTCCATGAGCTCCAAAGCTCGGATCTTATCCCTTCTATGGTTTAAATGGATAAAGTTTCCAACTTTATCCTTTAAGACACCCAAGGATACCAAGATCTCCAACCTTAAGTCCAAAATAAAGCCAAATACCACCATTTCTTAACCATTAAGCCCTTAATCTGAAAATTCCTTAACCCAACCACTCCAGAAGGGTAATCTAACACCAGATCCATCATAAATATGAAAGCTTTATAGAGACGTATGTCCAAAACATGTCTAGAATTCATTTTAGGTAAACATGAGCTATATAGACTAAAACATAAGAAAATGAAAAGAACCTCTACAAAAGACTAGATCTATAACATATGACGCTCTTGGGACTCTGGAGAGTCATAAGGTTGCCAACTTTATGAGCCTTATCCTTCCAAACTTGTTAAAAGATAAAGAACGTGGGACAAAATCCTATATCTAGCCACTTCAAGCCATAAAGATTGAGCCTTTGACACTAACAAAGGTCCAGGAGCAATGAGAGATGTTGATGATGTTGGTTCCTTGCAAGTTCCACCAGTGGAGTACCTTCTTCTCCTCTTCCCCAAGCCAGCAATGCTCCAAAAAAGCCACAAACCCCAAAGGAATGAGAGTTAGGGTTTCTATGAGGTATAAGGGTGTTGGAGGATGGAAAGAACCCAATAAATGGCTTAGAGGGGTTTAAATACGAATCAAACCCTAAAAGAATCATGAGATTGGGCCAAAATAGCTGCCACACCATGGCCTTCCTTAGCCACATTGTGGCGGTCCAATAATCATGCGATCATTTTATTGTTTCCATGTCGTGGGCATCCTTGTCCCACGTTGTGGCACAGAGTTTCCTCCAAAACTCCATCTTCGGTCATTGATAAAAGTAAGCTTAACCAATCTGAAACACTGGTGTTACATGGATAAGTCATGTCTTATTTAGTCTTTTCACCTAGGGTTTGAGATTTCGACCTTTTGGGTGGTCTTATCAGGTTAAGTTGGAAACTTTATCCTTCTAGACCTTGTTTCAGACCAGATCTGAGTTTTGGAGCTCTTGGGATCGAAGAAAACAGCTTAACCCTTTAAGTTGTTGAAAACTCAATGCCCACGACATGGCATTAGGTCACCACGGCATGGCAACTAGGAAAATCACGACTGTTTGGATGTTTGAGGGCCATGGCGTGGCCATGGGTGGCCACGGTGTGGCGGTTGACTTAAGTTAACACTGACCGTTGACTTTTGACTTGAGTTGACTTTTGGTCGGTCGCCTAGTTAGAAAAAGAGCTAAGGGTTTATCTGATATGACTGTATAGGCGGTGCGTAGCAGCAGTATTCTGACCGTAAGAGTAGTAGCAATTGAGCATTTTCTGATAGGTGAGTCTTCGCACCGCACTTATGGTCGAAGGCGCCAATGTCGGCTCACTGATTTGTATTGTAGGATGTATGTTTCTATGGGAGAATTACTGATATGATTGTGTTTTGTATACATGTAGCCGATATGGACTTGGAGTCATTATGGACTCGGGGTTGATACGGACCTGACACAGCTATATGTTGTTACATAGAGTCGTTATAGACTCCGGGTTGATACAGACCCGGAGGTTGATACGGACTGACACAGTCACGTGTTGTTATATTTGTATTTGTATGTTGTATACGGTATTTTGAGGAAAACTCACTAAGCCTTGTGCTTACAGTTTATGTATATGGTTTCAGGTATTTTCGGAACGAAGGGGAAGGGCCTAAGGTGATACCACAACATCCCCCTAATGTTTCCGCACTTACGATATTTTGTACTCTGATGATTTTGATATTTTATAATACAGTTGACATTGAGGCATCTGATGTATAGAATTTACGATTTTTAGAACGAAAAATTTTATCACTGTTTTTGGGTTGTTACAACCGTACTTGACGCTATAGCCTCATAAGATTTGTGGTTTTGGCATGCCTACTTGCGTAGTGACGGTTCAATTAATGTCATTAATATTCTCAATAATTCACCGTTATTTAAGACTTTGCTTGAGGGTATTGTCCTTGATTCTTCAATTGTACTAAGAGGAAAAGAGTTCAAATTTGGTTACTCTCTCATGGATAGGATCTATCCTCAGCTTTCTGTTTTTCCAAAAAAAAAAATCGAGTCTAGATGACCCTTAAAGAAACAAATATAAGAGAGCGCAAGAAAAAGGAGGAAGGATATTGAATGAGTATTTAGTACACTTGAAAACCATTGGCAAATTGTTGCTAAAGAATCAATATTTTGTGAAGTAGATATTATGACCATGGTGATGTATACATGTATGATATTACATAATACAATAGTAAAAGATGAAGGAAAAGCTATATGTGACAACGACGAGAATTAAGTCATCCCCGAGACACAACCGCTAGTATATGGTGGTCCAAATTTTACATAAAGAATGGGAACACCTTAAAATTTTGTTATCCATTCTGATCTTCGTTGTCATTTGACCGACCATCTTTGGAAGATTGACAATCTTCATCTTTGGCAGGCCAGTATTTGAAGGAATACCTTTTTCTTTAGTTACGTTAATGTATTAGTCATGACATAAGTCATGTTTTTTATGTTTTAAGTCATTTATTAAGTCGTGTTTTAAGTCTAGTATTAAGTTATGTTTTCTAATTCAAATATTTGAATGTCTGTGTTTTTTATTATTAGTCGTTAAAAAATAAACAAAATTAATAATGATTAAAAAATATGCTATGGCATGCCAAGGTACACCACCACTCCCTAGAATCATTCAGTGCTTACGTGGCATGCAAAAAAATGATTTGACATCATGCTTAGCACACCACCACTCCCTCTAGTCTTATTTCCTTAGGGTTCATAGTTGGATTTTATTTCTAGGTTGTTTCTTACATATATGGTTTAAGTTATGCTCTTACTAATTCTCAAGGTTGTAAAAAATGTTTGACGTTAGCTGGTCGGTTGGTCGGTGGACTGACATTAATGGATTAATCGATTATGTGAGAATTAATCGGGGACCATAAATCGCTATGCAGAAAAAAATAAAATTGTGTACACATCACTTTCCTTTTAATTTTGAATTATGATTGTAAACCGGGATATTTTAATTAATTTTTGAGAAAACATTACAAGAGAAGGTTTAAAAAAAGAAAAGTTACTACATACATCAAGAACATATATTTCTTTTGTTTTTTAAACGGCAAATCTAATCCTAATATACACCTTAAATCCACCTATGTCTAGGACATGACTTCAACCCTCAACCTCAAGGAGGGAGGACAACACCGGATACCGCTGGGCTAGAAGCCCTTTGGTAAAAACATATATTTCAATACCTTATGTCCAAGCCATTGCAAATACTCAATAAATTAGAATTGAAAATTATCTGATGAAATGAAGTTTAATTATATGATCCATTGATTATTTCGGATTTGAATGATGTTAGGTATTCGATTGTTTGTTAGAATAATGTTTTAAACATATTGGATCCATATTAAATCGGTAAAAGTCCCACCCAGTCTTAGAAAGTACATAAACCATGTCCTAAACTACAACACCACATACATGATAATAAATAGACAATTTACATAGATACAAATCCCACTTCCCATATTTACAAAATTTATTCAATGATAACAAGTTCAATAGGCAAGAAAAATAAAAAACTTAAGATTACTAATTTACTATACATCTTACAAAAAAATACTCAGATCGTTTACGTATATATCGATTCACGTATGCAATTTACATAAATGTATTTAGTCCTTGTTATTAGAAGACTGGTCTTTCTTCTGTCCACCACCAAGAATACAAGATATCTCTAAACCTCTGTTGAATGCTTGGTTGAAAATCATACGTGTTTGGAATTCTGACACAAATGGGAACCATGCAAGAAATGCAACCGGGGTGAATAAAAGTAACCCCATGATTATCTCATAGTATTTTGCTAGGGTTCTAATCGATGACCACAGTCCAGATCTTTGGAAAAATGGCCTCAAAGCTTGTGATATCTTACAACAGATAACAGACAACAAATAAAAAACACCCATTAATATCACTAATTTTTTATTTTGATGACATGGCACCGACGTCACAATGTTATTAAAACAAGCTCATTAAGTAGTATTTTGAAAATGTTGGAACAAATTAAAAAGTAAATAAACCTGCCACGTCAGCAACAAGTAGAAAATTCCACTGAGCGGTAATTTTGTAAATACAGTAAAGACAAAAATACTAACCAGAAGTAGTCCCCAGCCAGTAGGGAGGAAGGCGAGGATGCATACGATTATGTCTTTGATTGTCATGTGTGGAAGTGAAACCAATGTGATTAGAGTAGAAGCAAATGCAACAACTATGAAACCATTGATTAATCGGAATAGAAGTTGATAATCAGCACCAAGGGTTTTTCTCCAATATGACATGGCCTGAAATTAGATGTAAAAAGTCAAACAGATTTGATATGCTAGCCAAGCTTATGGTTATGAATTTTTATGCAAAAATGTTTCATAGATTAAAGCTAAAAAGATACCAGGTGTTTTCACAGATTATTTATAAATAGACGTACCATACACAACTGATCAAAGTTTCTCAAAACTTATGTTGCTTGTTCAATAAAAGGACATGTAACTATAGAACAGAAGCAGAATACCAACGGATTCAGTATAAAAATACCTTTAAAATTTAAAGGGGAATACAGTTCAGTTGTAGAACCCTCTTGATATTTGTTAAAAAAAAATAATTATAATTATATAAATAAATATTTGTCGTTATACTTTTAGTACTTTCGTAAGAGATAGTGATGGTCATGGAGATTATGTACCTCTCTTACTATCACACCTTTATAGGGTAGAAGTTGTCTCAGGCAGATCTTTAAGCTTCGAGCATGATGAAGTATCAAGATGTTTAAGACATGGTAGCTGTTGTAAGACCTCCGATAGTGATTCTACATCCATAAAACCTTCAAGTTCTAGAGAAACTAGAGATGGTGGAAGAAGAAAAGATGATGAATCAGTGGTATTCCTCATATAGTTTGCCACTGCAAATGAAACCACTCCTGAATTTTGGCCATATAAGCTTAGTTTAACCAATGAGGTTGGAAAGTTGTGATGCACTACTAGAAAAATGGATAGTTAGCTACAAGGAATATTGTTAGTATTTTGTAGGAAATAAAGTTTGGCTACAAATTTCCAACGAAAAGTGGTTGGTGGAAAAAGGGCCGTGGGAAACAAGGTTCCTACAAACTTCCAACAAAAAGCTGACACATTTCCTACAAAATATTTCGTAGGAAATTTCAACAAATTTCCAACAAGTTTTCCCTAGACTCCCTGCCACTTTTTTTCCAACGGAATTCCTACAAATCATGTTTCCAACGAAATTGCTACAAACTTTTCCAACAAATTTCCAACAGCCTCCCTTTTTAAAAAAGTTTGATTCGATGCTTTTTTTCTGTTGGTATTATGTTACAGTTTTTTTTTAAATACTATAAATTAAGAATATTAATGAAATTATAAATAATGCAGTTTCTACATAAATTATATAATAAACTATAAATCAAATACAAATTCTTCAAATATGCACTTTTAACCACAATAACAACAAACACAAATAATTCAATACAAATCCAAAATGATAACTACTATTCATTACTTCAACAACATGATAGTAATTACTAAATATCCACAAAACCATATGTATTATGTAAATATCCAATACTTCATCCAAATGATAGTTACCATCTACTACTTCACCAAAACAAATACAGTTGTGTACTTCACCAACATGCTTAATAAAAAGTTCCAACAACAAAACTAACATCGGTCTTCAGGAGGGTTACCAAATCGTCTCATTAGTTGAGCCAATTGTTGTTCCATAATTTCTTGTTTTTGTTGCATCAAAACTCTTTCCCTCTCCACGTTTTCAAGTTGGGTTCGTAGCTCCTTAACCTAAAAACAAACATATAATTAGCAAACAAACAATATATCAACATTCTTTATCCATTATAGAAACATACCAAAAACATATTCCATAATAGCAATGTACTTTAATTTGCTACCAATATAGGTCTTGTACTTATTTTTTATCCATAATAGCAACACACTTTATTTTAACAAAATTCTAACAACAAATTATTTATTTAGTGGCTGTTTTCATTCATAATAGTAAAATACTTCATAATAGCAAAATACTTCATAATAACAAGATACTTCATTTTTCATTCATAACTGCAACATAATACTCTGTGTAAGTTTCTTGGCTATTTTGAAATAAATATATTAGGGACTGTTTTCATGTCTCACAAAGTGTTTAATTATAGTAATGTACTTTCTTTATCTATAATATAAACAATCTATTTATTAAAGGAAATATACCTCCTGTTGAGACCCGCAAGAGGACGACGAACACCCCGCACCAACAGATGATTTCCCATTGAACAAAGAGTTTATATCCGAGGATCCAACTCCATAGATATAACTACTCCTCGAAGCACCACTTATCTCCCTTTGGGTTTTCGCCCACAATTCAGCATCATCAATCGGGTGATCAACCAAATCATCCCCATACTTCTCAAGCAAGGCTCGAGAGTACGCTTCCTACAAGGAAATAAAACACAATTATTATTCAGCATCATCAATCGGGTGATCAACCAAATCTATGCACGGACATCTAATTTCGGAAACCACCAACCCATTTCTTAGAGTTCTATATTTGACGACTGTGGCGTTGTTAAATGCATAATCCAAGAATTGCTTGACATAGAATTGAAATTCTGCATTAAAAATTTGATTACTATTCACTCTCATCGTGTACATCCATTCTCTATTTGGCACCATTATCGATATGTAATTCTAAGATAGTGCAAATGTTAGAATGTAACTAATTAACAGATTTGTCTTGAAATTTATGAGGTAACATCTATCAACAGAAAGATACAATGATATATTTTACAGGAAATTGATATATTTTACAGGAAAGATTTATTAATTGTGTAAGTACTTGATTTATTATGTTAGTTTGTATATCTAGAGTTGTGAACTGAAATTATCATTTATTAATTCTATAAGAAAGATTTCTATTAATCATCACAAAAATTTTTCAAAATAATGCTATAATAGTAGGTAATCCATGAGCACAATTTTCCAACATAATTGAGAAAAAGAACAGATACAAATTGTTACATACAGATACCATCCACACATAGTGATACATTGACATACATACATACTTATTGTTACATTCTAATCATACATACTGATAGATTTGATAAACAGATAGAAATTAATAAATGAAACTATTTGATAAACAGGTAGAAATTGATAGAGGTGGTATCAAGCAACTGACCTGAAGTCACTGGCGGAGGAAGCAAGTGTTGGTCTAGAAGTATCCGGCGTCGGCAATGGAGACAGCGTCAGCGTGAAGCAGGTGTGCCGGTGGTGTGTCGCAGCAACAGTGGGGAGAAACGCCGGCGTGAAGCGGCTGTGATGGTGGTTTATCACAGCAACGGTAGTGTGGTGGGACAAATCGTCGGTGGCTAGAGATTGTTTGGGGATTCGTCGGCCATGGTTTGGGGAGAGCGGTACTTTTTTTTTTCATCCAAATGTAAAGAGCAGCTAGGTTAACCGAGAGTAAGGGTTTTGATTTTGTAGGAAATTTGTCGGAACTTTCCAACAAATTTACAACGGAAGCCAAAAATAAATAAATAAATAAAGCTAATTTAACATTTGAATTCCACGTTTTGTTTCAAAAGCCTTGTATATTTTCAAGTTATATGTATATATAATATTAGAAATTAGAAATTACTGTTTTTCATTAACTTGATAAAAATTATTGTTTTTATTAACTTCATAACAAATTATTGTTTTTATTTGTTTTATAGGTTTTTTTATTTTCTTATTATTGCTAATGTAAATAACTTGATAATTTTTGTTTTTTTTAACCGATTCAAATTCTATATTTTTAGTTTTTTTTTTAATAATTGTTTGTTAATTTGTTTTATATAATGTATCTTAAAATAAAAAAAAATTAACTCCAAATATTAGGAGGGAGAAACAAAGACAAAAGGTGGGAAAACGTTTTCAAGTCCCGCTATTACTTTTCCTACGAATTTCCAACAAAATACTAATTTTAAATATTATTTAATATTTTCGTTGGTGTTTTGTAGGAAAATAGCTACACTTTTCCAACAGAATATGTAGGGTATCTATTCTAGTAGGTACTTTGTTGGAATCTTGTTGCATTTCACTTTTGTTGCAAGTTTGTAGGAAATTAGATGGATATTTCCAACAACATTTTTTGGTAGGAAATATTTGGTAGGTAAAACCAAATTTTCTAGTATTGATGACCCCACTCTGACATGGGTTTATTTAGGCGACCTATAGATAGGATACTTAAATTAGGAGGCCACAACCCACAAGGAAATGAGTAATCCAAACTTGGACAATCTCGCATAAACAGTTCTTCCAAAAATGTGAGACTTTCCAAATGCTCATGAGGAAACGACTTTAGATCCTTGCAACCACTAATCTGAAGATATCTTAGACAAAAAAATTGAAGAAAACCATAACCTTTCTCTGGAGTGGGGTGGGGGTGCTCCTGCCATGTTGAGAAGGTGAAGGATGTCATTGAACTACATTGAAAGAGTCGCAACCTCTCAACACTACGTGGACAAGTGTAACTCTCCATTACATAATTTCGAACAATCATCACTTCTTTAATAGATTCCATGATACTCATACTCCCCATATTAATTATCTCTTTATCTCCTAATGACACCAACTATGTACAATGACTTACCTCCAACGTTTGTAACCTTGGAAAAATCTTGCATGTCTTCCATTCTTGCTCCGGCCACAAGTGTCTAAGTCCATGACAATATTCAATGTTGAGATTTTCAACTCACCGAAGCTGCATTAAAATTTCTCTATGTAGTTGAGTAAGTCCTTCAACATTCGAAAGGCTCAATGCAACAAATGCAACAAGTGATGAAGACACACTAACCATTCTTCTTAGCACCTCTTCGGAACATTCTTCTATCTTTAAAACCCGAAGTGATGGTATCAATCTAATTGATACTTCTTCTAGTCTCCCACAGTTTGTTATAGAGATCTCACGAAGACGAGGAAACCATCTACCATTTCCATTGTCTTGACCACCATCAGTTGACAATCTCTCCCAAACCGGCATATCTTCAAATTCCAAAACTTCAAGCGATGGAAATGCAATCCCAAGGAAAGAATCATCAGGTGCAAGAAACTCAAAATCCAAAGTCTTCATCTCATCCATCCTTTCAACAAACAATTTCTCAAGGGACGGTAGCTGTCCAAGTGTTGGTAAATGTGTACTTGTACAACCACATAATGTTAACTGATAGAATGAAGGATCATCAATCCAACTAGGAAACCCTAAATCACAGCACAAACTGACATGCCCAACGTCCTCACCGTCGTCACCATCTCCTTTCACTCACTTAATCAACATACCAGGTTTGTTTTCTGATTTCACAAATTTTAGTTTTTGACATTTTATTTTCCCAAGTTTGATTTTGATTTCTACGATGTGGTCTTTTTCTCATCCATGCATTATATATGTCCCAAAAAATGAAATCTGTCTATTTCGCCCTTTAATATTCTGGTTCGAAATTAACCCTTTTTTTAACTATGTTTGTGCGTTCAACAGATGATCGTCATCCTTGAAATTGAAATCGGTAGGATGAAGAGCATGTTATCTCCGCCACCCTGAGAAAGAGGAGATAGGTGGATGACCTACTTCCCGTTGCTCCATAAGTCCTCCTGTTACATGACCCCATCTTCACATCTCCTCTTCATGAACCCTAAAAGTTTGAAAGAAGGAATTAAACAAAAAAAAGGCTTTTTTTCATCTGATTACACACAAATTGGCTCAATCCATTTCTTATTTTTTCCAGTTTGCTAACTTTGTTCCTTATAGTAGATTGTTTACTTTGTAATTGTTGGATTTTGTTTTTCAGATATAGCTGGACAAAGAATTACTTGGTGTCAGGTGAGTACCACTAAGTTCAAGAATTACTGGTGCCGGATCGATGGCCAAACAATAAGAAAGAACAAATAATAACCGACTCCCCTATCTGCGAAAATCGCATTTAGCTGATCAGAATAATAAAAAAAAATATCTATCAAAAAAACCCTGTTTTCTGAAAACCCTAAACACCGATTATAAGTCTAACCACCTAAAAGGAAAGAAAACTCAGCAATTACCAAAAAGGAAAACAAATCCCAAAATTCAAAATAAGACTTATAAAATAGAAAAAGGCCATGTTCGACCCCTAAACAATGTCGTTGGTGTCATTAACTGCATCATCCTCCCCTTCTTTGGAAAGACTCGACCTCGAGTCTGGATAGTTGTCACCCACACCTTTATAAGGTGATAAGTCAGCCACGTTAAAAGTAGCAGAAACATTATAGTGACCAGGCAGCTCGATTTTGTAAGCGTTGTCATTAACTTTCTTGAGCACGCAAAAAGGACCGTCGCTTTAATTTCCCAAAACGACCAGCTGGAAACCTCTCTTTATGCAAATGAATCCACACCAGATCGCCTTCTTTATATATAACACGCTTGCGATGTTTATTAGTTCGATCAGCATATTGTTTGTTGTGATGAAGAATCTGTTCGCGAACTTGCTGATGTAACTGTTGAATACTCGTGGCCTGCTGTTCAGCCTCCCTGTTAGTTGGTTCAGTCACACAAATAGGTGCCAAATCAAGGGGTGTGATAGGGTTGCAACCGTACCCAACCTCAAAGGGACTCTTATCCGTTGTACGATTAACTGACCTGTTAAATGCAAACTCAACTTGTGGAAGAGTAAGATCCCACTGTTTTGGGCTGTCACCACATAAGCTTTGTAGGAGATTACCCAAACTTCGATTAGTGACATCGGTCTGTCCGTCGGTCTGCGGATGATGAGAGCTACTGAATTGCAACTTAGAACCCATCCGTGTCCATAAAGTACGCCAAAAGTGACTAACAAACTTCACATCACGGTCAGAAGTGAGTGTTTTAGGAATACCATGAAGTTTAACAATCTCAGAAAAACATAACTTAGCAACTTGACTCGCATCAAGCGTCTTGGAGCACGGAACAAAATGGGCCATTTTAGAAAACCAATCAACCACGACCATCACAGAATCCTTGTGACGTTGGGTACGAGGTAATCCCAATACAAAATCAAGAGTAATATCTTCCCAGGGGGCGTTGGGAACTGATAATTGGTTATACAAACCTGCATTGCCCTGAGTCTTAGCGATATGACATATCCGACACCTCTCCACAATATGGTTAACATCCCTCTCCATGCGAGGCCAATAAAACTAATCATGAATGAAAGCCAAGGTCTTATCACGACCAAAATGACCCGCGAGACCACCTGTGTGGCTTTCTAATATAATGTCATCACGTAGGGAACTAAGAGGAATACATAATCGAGCCCCTCTAAATAAATAACTGTAATGCATTGAAAACTGCTAGAATGGTTTCTTGGTACATTTACGCCACACATCCTTAAAAGTAGGATCATCTCTATACAGGTCTCGGAAGGTATCAAAACCTTGAACGCGTACCTGCATAGTAGTAACCAACGAATGTCGTCGACTAAGTGCGTCAGAAACTTTATTCTGTGCTCCTGCTTTGTGTTTGATCACAAAGGAAAAAGCTTGGAGCAATTCGACCCACTTGGCATGTCGTGGATTAAGCTTGTGTTGGCCCTGGATGTATTTCAAATCCTCGTGATCTGAAAACAAAACAAACTCAGAAGGTAATAAATAGTGTCGCCAAGTATCCAAACTTCGTACGATCGCATAAAATTCTTTATCATATGTGGAGTATTTGCGACGAGTATCACTAATCTTCTCGCTAAAGAAGGCTATGGGTCGTGACTTCTGGCTCAAAACACCACCAATACCAACACCCGAGGCATCACATTCAACCTGAAAAACTTCACTGAAATTAAGTAAAGATAAAACAGTAGCATGTGTTACCTTAAGTTTCAGAAGTTCAAAAGCTGTGGTTGCTTCATCCGTCCACGAAAAACGTCCTCCTTTCATACATTTGGTGACAGGAGCTATGATAGTGCTAAAATTATTGATGAAACGACGCTAAAAGGAAGCCAACACATGAAAACTTCGGATCACATGAATCGTAGTGGATCTTAAAATCATCCATCTTGATCCCATTACCAGAAACATTATATCCTAAGAAAGTCACTTCATGAACAAGAAAATGATACTTCTTACCATTAGCATATAATTTATGTTCACGCAGGACAGAAAAAAACTTGACAAAGGTGAGATAAGTGTTGCTCCATAGTTTTGCTAAAGACCAAAATATCATCAAAGTACACAACGAAAAATGACCAATAGAAGGTTTAAAAATATGATTCATGAGTCTCATGAATGTACCCGGCGCATTAGAGAGGCCGAAAGGCATGACCATCCACTCGTACAGTCTGTCTCGTGTCTTGAACGCGGTTTTCCACTCGTCCCCAGTTCTCATCCAGAATCTCATGATACCCACTTCTTAAGTCAATTTTCGAGAAAACTACTGCGCCATATAATTGATTAAGTAAGTCATCAAAACGTGGAATAGGAAATCGGTACTTGATAGTGATCTTGTTAACAGCTCGACTATCAATGCACATACGAAATGCGCCGCCATGCTTAGGAACCAATAACGCAGGTACTCTACACGGTCTCATACTTTCTCTGATGAGCCCTTTGTCCAATAATTCTGTCACCCGCCTATGCAATTCCTCATACTCCCGAGGATTCATTTGATATGCAGGCTTGTTAGGGATTGTTGAACCTGGAATAAAGTCGATGTAATGCTGAATATCCCGCACCATAGGTAATCTAGGTGGAATATCATCCGGTATAACATCAGAAAATTCGCTCAATAAGGGTTGAACATGAACAGGTACCGACACTACAAGAAACGAGACCTATAGGGACGACAAATTTCGTCTCTATAGGCTATAGAAAGTCGTCTCTATAGGTGGTTATGACGACAAGTCGTCCCTATAGCCTTTGTCGCTATAGCCCCGTCGCAATAGATAGCTTGGGTCGTCGCTATAGATATCGTCGCCATAGATACCTTTTAGAGAAGACATATCGTTTTTGTTGGTTCGTCATCCTATTGTTGGACCTATAGAGACGACACGTCGCCCCCATAGCTAGACCTATAGAGACGACACGTCGCCCCCATAGCTAGACCTATAGACACGACATGTCGTCCCCATAGCTAGACCTATAGCAACGAAATGTCGTCTCTATAGATATTGTATAGAATTTACATTCAACTTCTATTTTTTGTTTACTTTACCAGTTTTCTCAAATACAAAAAATAAATTGACCTTGTTGTCCACAACTATTTTATCTGTAAATCTTCCTGTGCTAAAAATGAATACCTGAGACAATAATTATATAAAAAAAAATGAAACTTTAAAATGTACAAAATAAAACAGAATTTGACAAAAAGAAAAGAATTGATGATGAGACAACTTTTATTTGTGTGATTTTTAGAATGTACAACAGTAACTATATACAGTAACTGTATATAGTCCCTCACTTAGGCTTTCAGTTTATTTGTGTGATTTTTTTCTTAGAAATATTAATAACAGAGAAAAAATAAAATTAGAAAAGCCACATTAGCAAGTGAAGTTTTTATTACCAAAATTTATCTGTTTGCATTGCCAACTGAAAGGAAGTTATTATTCACCTGCAATTGAAAAAAAAAAAAGATAATCAGTTTATACTCATTCAATCACTATATTCCTACAGGGAAGCTTAAATTACAAAATTTAGTTTGATTATTTTTACAGAAGGGCGCTTTAATATAAAAAAACAAGTCAAAGTTACAAATTTATATAAGCATTTACAGAAGAAAAATTACTAATATATGCAATATTATAATATATGCAATATTATAAACAAAAGAAAAAACATCATAAATGGTCCCTGTGGTTTCCCAAAATCTGATGTTTAGTCCCCGTGGTTTAAAAACCTCATAGATGGTCCCTGTGCTTTCAAAACCTTTGACAGTTGGTCCTTATCCCTCACACCGTTAGAATCCCACCGTTAACTCTTACTTCATTAAAATAATACAAGGGCAAATCGGTCTTTTCACCTGTGCCCTCTTCTTTATAAACAAATGCATGTTTGATATTTTGAAAAACCCTTCTCGCACCCACCCTCTTCTACTCTCACTCTACTGTGCATCCAATTGCAAAACGAATTATGCGAGTGTCGAAGATGGCA